ACTGTTTTAAATTCTCATAATGAATGATGTATCTTTTTTTCGGTAGAAGTGTAGTCATTAACTTTCTCCCATTACATCGTGAGAGAGGAGGTACAAAATGCTCGGGGCATAGTGGTAAGTCTTTGTAAACTTCATGAAGCTCCGCGGGGCACTCTAAATCTACTTCAAGTATATATCCTATAGTGGAATTATTGGGAATCTTACAAATATCCAGTTGTTCGATATTTTGTTCCCATTCGAACGAGTTTAACGGTAGGAAGTGACTCATAGCTGCACCGTACAAGTTATTGACATCATAGTACATGAGGTATGATTCTTCTTTGGTTGGATCGAAATCCGCGCCCATATATCTATTGTTAGCCTTGGCGTATCTGTTAGAACATTGGGCTACCTCGGACACCACGGATATCTCGCTCGACAAACAATAACATTTCTACATCATCGAGGAGTTCCATTTCAACGCCCGTACACTTGAGCATAGCATCGAAAGCAAGTCCGGGTGCGGTGTAATAATGCAAAGGGTCTAACTTATATGTAGAGAAGCAGTTGCGTCTAAAATTTTCGAAAATATCCCACCCAATGTTTTAATATTAAACGTACGCCAAACATTAGACGCATGCGCATAATCACTCTCAGAAATTTTCTCGTTATTCAATTTCGAAAAAAAATTTTCTTTCGATGATAATTTCTTCTCTTCGAGTTTTTCCCAACAGTCAACATAGTCGTATGGAAATACACCTTTCCTCGTTAACAGTTTAAATTTCTCCGCATTGTCACAATGTTTACGTGTAATTATTTTCTCAAAATCATTAAGATAGGAGGATAATTTTTCAATGCTGCTCGCCATAAATCTGAATGAATCGATGAATCGAAAATTTATAATTGTATCTTTAATGTTCTTTGTAAACGATATATATCTTTTTTTGTTGGCCGGTATAAGATTTACGGAACCTTCGAAGGAAGTAGTTAGAGCCTTAATCAGAAAGTACGAATCGCAGCCAGACAGGTTGTGAAAAACTATGGGAATAGTATGTGAGTTTTTATAATTCAAATTGCAACCGGGATGCTCCGCACCGCGATACTTGCCTGTAAAGTGAGAATGAGCGTGATGCTTGACATCTTGCAATGTGAATGGTTTCTCACAAATGTGACAGATCTTTGCGTAATAAAATTGTTGCGTCTGTTCGAGACTCAGTGGTTCCATGGATG